CACTAGTACAAAAAATATCAATAAAATCGTATTATTGGCGTCCAAAAGTAGAACTTTGGACTCCTAAAGTGTAGTGCGATGACATTTTTGTAATTAAAATGCCAATTTTTATTTTTATTATTATTAATTTTTAAAATAACAGAGAATAGAGCGTCCAAAAAAACAGTGGTAGACTTGCAGTTTGACAATTTTAATGAGGTTGTTTTCAACATTTATTCAAATAACACATCCAAATAAATTAATTAATGATAATTCATAAGTCATAACATCAAAACTATGGTTTTCAAAAAAAAAAATTATATATATATAAATGAAAAAAATTAGCAAGGTCAAGTCGGACGGGTTAACTCGGCTAACTCGACAGAAATTGACGAGTAAACTCGGCGTAATCGGCCGAGTTAGGCGCTAGGCGGCCGAATTAGGCGCTAGGCGGGCGCCTAGGCGGCCGGTCTCCTAGGCGGGAGCCTAGGGGGGAAATCGCCACGGCTTAGGGGCGCCTAGCGCCTAGGCGGCGATTACTCGGTGCCTAGGCGGGGTTTTTGCAACCCTGATTCAGAGTAAGCCCGGGCGGAGATCAGTTTCCTAAGCTCGGGACCGATCAACTAACTGCATCCATGACAATCGGGAAACACAGTGTGCATCATCGGTGACCTCCCGTTGCTCGGTCGCAATGGAGCTTCTATTATGCTATCGTGTGCATCATCTCTGATCTCTCGATTACACAAACACTTGACGACCGGACCTGATCAAGTCCAAAGCCCGCGAATTGGTACGGGGCTTGACACAAATATTGAAGGGTGAGGGCGCAATTGTTCGGGTCCTTGTCGGGAAACGTCTCCTGTCTCCGGTCGCCGGCACAATTGGAATAGCTAAGGATTCCTTGATCAAGAAATAACGTGAATTGAAAGAATGGTGGTAGGCTTTGGCTCGAGAACACTGATTTGGTAGCGCTTGGCCTATGGTAGTTCACGGCCGGGATCGTTAGGCAACGGTTGTTCGTTCATCTCGTCTGCACAACTAATCCTGAGGTCGGTGAGCCGCTACAGTCGGCTTGATCGGACTGCTCGACGATCGGAGCAGCTGGCAACACCGAACAGTAAATGCATGTACACCTCTTTTTTTTGCCCGCATGGGTAGCTCAATTGGTCATAGAGGTCAAACTTTGGAAGAATGACCAAGGATCGAGTCTCACTAGCGGTAGTGTGGGAGCAACCTCTCTAAGTGAGGGGGGCTCCTTGTGCGCAGTGAACATTGGTCTAGCCTCTGTGGTTCATGTTCAGTTGAGTCACCATGATTTACATCCTACCAGTCATCAGTCACCATGATTTACATCCTACCAAATACTCTGTCGGGCCGGGGTGTGGGGGGTTAGGGTTCAACCTTTTGGAAGAATGTACACCTCTTTTCTCTTTTCTAGTCACGTGTGAGCAGTGGCGTGGAATCAAATTCTTGGGAATTAAATTTCCACTTTCTTGGTTATGTCATAATCCACCACTATCTACCTCCAATCAAATTGCATGCATTAGAAATTTCTATTTTCTTTTCTTTTAAATTCCACCGCCACCTTCCCCCAGTTTTCCTTTGCCAACTCATGCCACCACCACCCACAACGACCAGTAAAATTACGGAGTATATTTTGCTTGTCGCCCCTCTACACTTCATCACCACTAACCAGAAATAGCTCCATTTCCAGCGATGAAATTGGGGTAGCCAACGAAGCTTTCCTTGCTGTCTTGTTGTTGATGAAGTATTTACTTTTATTTGTTGATTGCCAAGACCCAAATCTGTGATTATGCTCAACCTCTGTCTGTTCAATGACGATCATGAATCTTAGCACTAGGCCTTTAAGATTGGCTCAACACTAATGAACACCAAAACATGGTGAACCGAATCTGGGTGAGTGGATGCATGCGATGGTGATGACGGAGTTGAGGCGGGGCAGCTTTACGAAGATGTTGACGATGATGTGGTTGGTCATCAGAGGATCTTGTCGGCTTCTGATCTGTTTTTAGAAATTCTCTAACCATAATTCGTAGTAGCTCTTCCATTCCACGAGCCTGAGCCGGAGATGGAACGAGACAGAGAGAGGTTAGTGACACCAGAGTAGCTCGTGGAATCATGCAGACTGGACGGAATGGAGGCGCCTCCGTTAGCAGTCTTCGGTCTTTCCGGCGAACAGACCATCAGTGGTGGCTGGGGCATTCCGGTTGCTGCCTTACCTTCAAACCAGAATGGCGTGCATGTCATCTCTCTCCTGGTGACATTGTGACAGAATCCTTCCCTCCCTCGCCTTCCTTGGATCCTTCCATTGTAATAGAAATAGAAAATGAACCAATAAGTAGTGTGGTCCCACGGTTGGGGCGCTGGTTGGGTAATCTGGGAATGTACCATGTGTATGAACAACAATGTAAAATAGACAAGAGAAGTGTGCTCAAAGGCTCTTTTTATTCATGTGTTGTTCTTGTGTCTACTCATAGAATGTATGTACCGTGTGTATGAACAAAAATGTAAAATAGACAAGAGAAGTGTGCTCAAAGGCTCTTTTTTGTTCATGTGTTGTTTTTGTGTCTTTTAGAGAGAAGGGAGAGGATATGTCTACTAGAGAGAGAGTGAAGTGGGAATCCGCTAACTAAGAGGGCCAAAGGCCCTTTTATAGGCCCAAGAGGGTGGTGGGTTTGACCCATCTCCTTTGACCCCGACCTGCAGATCAGGACCCGAACCGTCTGATCCTGACCCGACTATAAACGGGAACACGGACCCAGGGTATATATCCTACCAGGTATTATTAGTATATTATATATTATATATATTACTTAGTATATATTAGAAAAAATTATTTAATTACTTTTGACTTGATGAGTTCTGATCGAATATGAAAAGAACGAAGATAGAGGAAGAACTAAAGAAAAGGGACGTTGCATGTCGCAACCATTCAATTCCTCTCCGATCGCGCCTACGTCACAGCAACCGTTCAATTCCTCTCAACGGTAATAATGGAGTTATTAGAAGCCCAAAAGCCAAATAAGAATGGGCAATCGACAATCTACTTCCATAATCTACAAATAACAAATCTTCTCTCCGAATCTACATATTCTACCAATACTATATTACTATCGACACTCATCGACAATCGTCGGTCGCTCTAGTCAACCAGTCCTGTTCGCCACACCTGGTATTTTATGATTTGAGATTTTTTGTTTTAAAACTATGATTGAGGAATTAGGTCATATTGTTAACTGTATTGTTGAATAGTCTATGATTTGGAAATTGGGATTTGCAGAATTGTATAATGCACTGTATTAGAAATTTGTAGAATTCTAAAAGGTCTATAATTTATTTAAGAATGATAATTATAAAACTACGATGTGGGATTTGCATAATTGAAAACTACAAGTCATGGATTAGTTTGTAGATTAAATCATTATCATACGGAGCCTACTCAATCTTAAATCAATCGTTATGCTATGGACCCGTGTCCAAACTGTGTGGACACGGTAACGGTGCCGTTAGTGGCACTGTTATCTTTCAGTTTTTTTTTTTTTTTTTTTTTTTTTTTTTTTTTTAAATTTCAGACCGCTTCGTTATAGGAGAATATGTTCATAATTTTATCACTATATGTTCATAATTGTAAGCTCATAATGTCAGAGTTCTGTGTTCATAATTTCATAACTGTACATTCATAATTCCATAACTGTACATTCATAATTCAATAACTGTAAATTCATAATTTTCGAAGCTCTATGTTCACAATTTTAGAACTCTATGTTTCTAATTTTATCACTATATGTTCATAATTGTAAGTTCATAATTTCATAATTGTACATTCATAATTCAATAATTGTACATTCATAATTCCATAACTGTACATTCATAATCTCATAATTGTACATTCATAACTCCATAACTATACATTCATAATTTTCGAAGCTCTATGTTTACAATTTTAGAGCTCTATGTTCATAATTTTATCACTATATGTTCATAATTGTAAGTTCATAATGTCAGAGCTCTGTGTTCATAATTTCATAATTCCATAACTGTACATTCATAATTACATAATTGTACATTCATAATGTCATAACTGTACATTCATAATCCCATAAACGAAAAACACCGTTAACGGCGAGACAAAATCAAATTATTGTTTTTAACTGGAATGACGCTTTTTCCCTAAAAATGATGTCGTTTTGGACTCGTGTCCACAATGCATTGTGGACACGGGTCCACGGCATAATTTGCGATCTTAAAGTCCTAATTGTTAATTGAATAAGTTGTAATGTTGTTTAGGAATCCTAAATTCATAATTATATCGTATTGTTGATTTGTTATTTAAGAGTTAGTAATGAAGAATTTTATGATACTCCTTCTTAAAGTAAAATGGCGTCTGTCAGATGCCAAAGTAATTTTTTGATTTAATTTACTTTGTTGTAGGCGCTCTTTTTTTTTTTTTTTTTTTTAATTTCACCCCGGGCCTATAATATGTTTGGACCGGCCATGTTGATAGCATTAACTGATTGTAAAACCACGACCTCGGTTTTGAAGCACCAGAAACAACTTCTCTGAAAGATTTTTTTTTTTTTTTTTTTTAACTAATGTCATTGAACCTGAACTAAACCTTCAACATCATCAAACTAATTTCTGTAAATTCTGAAATAATTGGGCATCACATTTGTGAATAATGGTGTAGTTATAATTCTATAAGGATTATATTTGTAGGTTAGAATTATGTTAAGACTTTAATATTAGAATTAGAATTAGAATTGTATAAGGATTTCTAAGCACTAATTCTTTTATATATACACATACCATACACAGACCCAAATACAAGTCTTCAATCCACTAAACCCTATTTTGTGTTCTCATAAAAATCGCCGTCATCGCCACTACGAGGTTGCTGCAGATCGAGTACTGTACTGTATATTGACGATTGAAGGCACATCCTTCCCTTTTGCTAGAAGCGTTGAATTGTTGGATCTTTGAATATCAATCTCGACCTGAAAATGGAAGATTGCAGACTGTCAACGGATCTGGTGGTTGATATTTTATCCAGATTACCAGTAAAGTCTCTTATGCGATTTAAGTGTGTTTGTAAATTTTTCTATGATTTAATAACAAGTGATCGCCACTTCATGGACACACACTATGGAATTCGCAAAGCAAAAACCGATTGTGTTCTTTTAGAGGCTGGTTTGGTTGTTAGAGAATATTATTTGCTTTACAAAGAATCTTCTGAGATTGAATGCATATACTTAGACATCCCACCAACCACAAGAGTGCAATGGGTTAAGTGTTGTCAAGGTATGTTATGTTTGATTTCGCCCAGGAATGAAATTACTTATAAACTTGATCATGGTGATTACCTTATTTATGATATTTGGATATGTAACCCATCCATTAAGAAAGTTAAAGCCTTACCCTCTCTTACTGTCCCTTACCGACTACCTTATGATGCATTTGTTCGTAATGAATTTGGGTTTGGAATTTCTAACGACATGACTTTGAAGGTTGTCATGCTATTAGAAATTTATTCTTTAGATGATGGTGGTAGAATTCCTCACCAAATGACACTAGTTTATAGCCAAGTTGGTGGTGAATCTTGGAGTTTGAGACAGATTAATAATTCAGTTACATCTTGTTGCGATATTGAGGGTGCGAACAATGATTTTTATTTGAAAGGGAGGTACTATTGGCGAGCTGAAAGGGTCTATGATGGATACGGTCGATACTTGATTTGGTTTGACATGAATTGTGAGGTGTTTGGGACGATTGAGTTGCCAGTTGTTAGTATCTATTCAGTCTCAATAATGAATGAGACTATTGCTTTACTCGGATATTCTGGTAAGGACGATTGGGATTTTAGTTGCATTGAGATTTTGTTAATGATGGAAGATGACAACAATACTTATTGGAATAAAAAATCAAACATAGATTGTGTTGTAAACGTAGATAATAATGAATCTTGGAGACCAATAGGAATTTGGAATTTGGATGGTGAATTGCTTGTATTTATAGACCATAGAAATGATTGGGATTCGGATCATTCGGATCCGGATCATGCACATGATGTAAGAGGTGTACCATACTTCATATCTCTGGATTTGGTAACTCAAGAACGGAAGATGTTCTCCTTAAGTAAACAAAGGAAAAGTATTACTATAGCTTCAAATTCAACTGCAGATTTTTAAGTTTACAACGAAAGAAATATTGATATAACAGAAGAATGGGAACACAATATTTTTAATGGTGCAGCAATATATGCTCGAGTTTACAATGAAAGTCTACATTTTTTGTAAGAATGAAATAATTATACATTGTTTATTTAATTGTCTCTTTATTTGCACGCACAATCTTGTGCGCTATGTTATGTGATAGTGGAGTATGATATGTGATACTTTTTCTATATATGTATTTTAAGAATGATATTCTTGGACTATGCTTTGTAATTTCATCAAGGTTTGTGTGATTTATTAGTCCTATTATTATTATTATTTTTTTTATTTTTAAAAAAATTATGAATCCCCTTCCCTTGAAGTGTGCTTTTTTGAAACTTAAAAAAAGATTTGTATGAGATTGTTTATTTTATTGGTTTTTTATTCCGCTGATCTCCCTTTCCCTCCGCCAACATCCTTGAATTTAATTATAGATTTACATCCCCCATCAATCCTTTTAGACTACACTTAAATTTAATTTAGATAAATTTAACCAGTTTGGTTGGCGTGAGTGGTCGCGCATTCTCATCCCTTACCCGCATTCTCATCCCTTACCCTCAAATTTTACTGTACAATGCATTGTGATCAAGTTGCATTGTGGTCCAGACATCAAAACAGTATCGTTTCTTTTCATGATAATGAAAAGAAATAGCATCTGTTTCGCGCTGTTCCGCAAAAAGTAACTTTGTTTTGTATAACATATTTAGTTGCTTTTTATATATACTACAGTTACATTATACACTCAAATATGTGAAATTGTTATTTAGTTTAATTTTATATACACTATAGTCTTATTTCCACACAACTACAGTATCATTTCGATATAACTAAGACAATATACACTAAAATATGTGAAAATTGTTATTTTGTTTTATTTTATATATAATGTAGTTTAATTTCAATTTATTTACAATTTCATTTGGTAATATAAAAACAATATGTGATGCAGTTTCATTTTAGATACTCATTGTTGGAAATTATGGAATTTTCGATCACCTGAAAGTGATTTTAAATCAAGTTGAAAGCCTTTGACCATTTTTGGTATCTGAAAAAACCTTTGTTGCTATTTCCGACCACCTGAGAGTACTCTCAGCAAATAAAAAAATAAAAAATGCAATGTGTACCCTTGTCCAAAATACACAATGTACATTAAACAACATTACACAAATTTATGTCATGCAATTCTATAACTAGTATAAATGATAAAATTTGCAATGTGTACCCTTGTCCAAAATACACCATGTACATACTAAATGTTCGCAAATTGAATTTTAAACATTTAGTATGTAAATTATGAATATTTAATACGTAAAGTTGTGAACATTTAGTATGTAAATTGTGTATTTTTAGAACCCTGATTCACCCTGCAAGGTGAACCTACATGGGTCCACATAAAAATTTGCTTATAATTTATGACCCTATATCTTACATACTAGGACACTAGAATATAGTCAAATACAATAAAATGCAAATTAAAACCAAAACAAAAGTGTACTCGTAAGTGAAGATTTGACTCTAACTTATAGTTATCACTACATAATTTCTTGAAAGTTCATGTGGGATCATATTATTATTCACATTTTTTTTTTAATTTGTAAAATTCACCATTTGTACGTAACTATAATATATACCTAATGAACCATTGTTACCTGTTAATTTTTTTATTTTTTATTTTTTTTACTTCATCTAACTTTTTAAAAATAATTGCAACATTATTACTACTATATAAAAATTATTCCATATATAAATGAAGTTGACATTCAAAGTTTAAAAATGTGAAGAAAAAAAAATTAATGTTATGTGATATTCGTTAATCTTCGACGATCTTGGTAGAATCTACGTTACGATAGTGTGAATGTGTGATAGAATTGAAAATAGAGAAAAGGGAGAGAGGATCGCAATTGCAATACAAATAATCAGGAAAAATCACGGGGAACTCTTCATTCATTCCATAACTGTACAATGTAATATAATATAGGAAAAATAGTCAAATAGGCCCTCAAATTTCACTTAAAAAGTCATTTAAACCCTTAAACATTTTAAAGTTGCAATTAAACCCATTAACATATCATTTTAGTGCAATCAAGCCCAAAAACTAATTAGTGACCTGCTATTACAGTTCACTAAGTTTCAGTTAACATTCCGGCAACCTCCGACTAACTCCGACGAAATTTCCGGCAACATATCAACCTACTACAACCGTATTATATATACATACATACATATATATGTTGAGCATTTCAGCGGAGGAGCAGGCTGTGGTGTCACCGCTGGAGTTTTCTTGCCGTCGTCGGACATCTGCTCACCACCTTTGTTGCTTGCTGCCATGTTAGGATTTAGGAATAGGTGGAGATCCAAATCGTATGTACAAGAGGGCAGCTAATAATAATAACAATAACAACAACAACAACAACAACAGCAATGATAATAATAATAATAATAATAATAATAATAATAATAATAATAATAATAATAATAATAATAATAATAAGGTTGTAGGTTGATTTGTTGTTGGAAATGTCACCGGATTAGTCGGAGGTTGCCGGAATGTTGACTGAAAAAGCGACAATAATACATATTGGCTTAAAAAAGCAAGCATAGATTGTATTATAAACATAGATAATAATGAACGTTGGAGACCAATAGGAATTTAGAAAGTCGAAAGTGAATTGCTTGTATTTCCGGACACTATGGTTTATTGGGAGAAATGAATTTAAAAGTATTAATTTTGCTTCAAATCGAACTTATGAGTATTTTCAAGTTTACAACGAGAGAAGTACTGATATAACAGAAGAATGAAAACTCAATATTTTTATGCGCCATGTAATATATGCTCGAATTTAAGGCAAGAGCCTATATTTATTGTAAAAACGAAACAATTATATATAACTTAGTCAGAAAGAATGAATAGGAAAAATGATATTTTAATTTATTAAGGAGGAATATATTTTATATTTACACTGAATAAAAAACATAAATTACCAGCATTTCAACAATCAAATTGATCATAGAACACAATATATATATAAAAATATTACTATATATGACGGATCAAATGAAAGCAAAGAGATTACATATGTGCGGGCAATAAATTAAAGTAGATTAGCTTGCATCAAGATGTAATCAAGAATGGTATTATTTAAGACAATTATATTATTTTAAACTTCATCTATTTTACCAAACAGAGCTTTTAAGTTTAACCTACTGAAGCACACTGAGGCTTGAACTCACAATCTCCCATATGAAAATCTAACCCGATGCTATCTGAGCATAAAATGCTTGGCAAATAAAGCTTTAAGTTATTTGTAGCACTCATACATGAAATCAAGAATCCACTGGGACCAAAAAGAGCTCCTAGTAAACAGTCGCGGACCCAGAAAAATGGTTAAGTGGGGGCAAAGTTCAAATAATAAAAAATGTCTATAGATTTATAACAAAATGTTAAGTATCAAGAGCTTCTATGAAACATTAAAACAAAAGGGATAACTTAAAAAAAAAAAAAAAAAAAAAAAAAAAAAAAAAAAAAAGGAAAATCGCACTTTTGGTCCCTCAATTGTTGCTCGATCTGCAATGTGGTCCCTCACTATCAATTTCATTCAATTGGGTCCCTATTTGTTGTAAACTGTAGTCAATTTGGTCCTCCGGTCAGATTTCTCTCAAACCAAGGTGAAAGCCATGGACAAAATGGTAATTTCGTTTTACCCTCTTTACCCAAGCAGCAATGGCCAAAGGCACTCCATCATCGACCACCGCAGACCGAGCTCTGCCAGATACAGTAACCTCGCCGGAGTACGGTAGTATCTCTAACTTCCATTCAATCATTCACAGAAGTTTGACCACGGATAGACCCAGTTGACCAACTGGAAAATACAGAGGACTACTGGCACGAAGCTTGACCACCACAAAAATCCAGTTGACCAGCCAGAAAAACCAGGAGGAAGAACCACCCAAGTTCCTTTATTAGAAGTGTTATCGACCAGAAAAATTAGATAAAAAACAGGAAGACGGTGTATTGTTGACTATTGGAAAAATTCTAAGCAAGATGCTACTCTCCGTTGACCACTCAAGAAACCCAAATGGATAAACACGAATACCCAAGGGAGAATACACTAGAAAACTGAACGATGGAGAAACCCAGAAAAATCAAGAACTTCGAAAGAAGTTCAAGAAAACTGATTTAAAATTCCATAGAGAAAAGTCAACCAAATTAATTTATACTAAGATAATTACACCTGAGGGTTCGCCGATGAATCCATCAACGACGAAGACTGGGTTGCGTCTTGGACTTGATTAAACGCTTCCTCCACCACTTCCGGAGGTGCGCCACCCACCTCCATGACCGCCAGATCTGCTGCTGCCTCGCCGGAGATCAGCTTCTGCCCGTCGCGCCAGAAAAAGGAAGAAGGGGAGAGGAGTCGCCGGAGCTGCTACTCGTTCGTCGCCGGAAGGAGAGTTTCCTCGTCTGCTCACTGCCGTAGCCACAGCTCGCCAGAGGAGCCACTATCCCGACCTCTCGCCGCCGTCGCCACAGCTCACGAAACTCCACCATGTCGCCGTCGATCTGCTGCTTGACGTGGAGGAGAGATAGACACCGAGAGACGAGAGACAAAGGAAGAGAAGGGGCTATCGAAGGGGACCCAGACCTCACTGGATCTGCTTGTTGCTTGCTACTGTAAGAAAGAATGGTGGCATTTGCAAAATAAAAAAAGAATAAAAAATAAAAAGAAGAAGAAGAAGAAAGAACGGTGATAGAGAGGGCAAAACGAAATTACCACTTTGTCCATGGATTTAACCTTGGTTTGAGATAAATTTGAACGGAGGACCAAATTGACTACGGTTTACAACAAATAGGAACTCAATTGAATGAAATTGATAGTGAGGGACCACATTGCAGATCGGGCAACAATTGAGGGACCAAAAGTGCGATATTCCCAAAAAAAAAAAAAACACTTAAGAAGTTAGTCATAAATATTGTT